TGACCATCGCCGTTCGATTCACCACAAAATCTGCATCAGCGCCATCTTGCGCATGTCTGCTATGACTGACAGATCTGGACCTCTAGAGGCCCCTTGCTTTTTTGGTCTGCGTGCTCGCTTTAGTCATCCCGGACCCTGGAGGTTTCCACCTCTAATTTAAAACCTTTAGGGCGGCTCCGCGAGGTAGAGCCGGGCTCGTCTCCGCCACCGAGAACCGACCCGCAGCAATTGGACTTGCATGATTTGATTCCCCAGCCAATCCTCCCGCACACTATTACACACACCCACACCACACCACAATTAACTCACTGCATGAATGGAATTTCTGTTCCCGCACTCATCTTTTTGAGCCTATGTATAATAAGAACCACCAGAGTTGCTGCTCATGGCACCGCCGCAATTCTCAGCTGTTTAAGGAGTGGGAGTGGTGTGGGAAGACCACCCGCGCGGAAACACCACTTGAATTTCCCTGGGGATTACACTAAAGTATCTATCTATCTAGGTCTATCTATCTATCCATAAACAGTCGGTATCTATCTAATCTATCCTTGGTCTGAAAGCGCAGTACCAAATGCAAGTCAGTATGATGCGGGTATACTGTTCCATAGATCATAGTCATTGGTGCCCTCGACCCCTGGATTCATCCTGTGTTTCAGTTTTATGGTCTTCTTAAATACCTGACGATGTGCGAGATTCCTCTAAGTGGATCTACATCGATACAACAGCGCACACATGGATTTGGAAGTCTGGTGAACAAGGTGGAGAATAGTTCCGAGGTAGTCTTATAGTGGACAAAGCGTGTAATTGGAGCAAAGTCTTGGAGAGCTACACATAAGAATTGCACTGTGGAATTTGTGAAGGACAGGGCCTGAAGGTATACATAGAAAAACATATGAATACAATTCAGAGCCCTGCGATCAATCAGCAGCAGAAGGAATAATCGACCGACCTGCTCAGAGTAGAGGGATGCAGGCTGCGGGGATGAAGGTGGACACGTAGTCGGTTTACAGAAATACTATATCGCAGCAGAGCGACGGGAGCATTCAGCTGTGGAGTCTAGTGAGCACAGAAGGAACCATCACGTAGATAAACAACCACAGATCCTGATAAACACATTTAAACAGTCCATCATTCTGCAGAGAGATGTGGAAGCAGGCAGCGCAAGGATGATTAAGGCCTTTTCTCACACACACGAACACAACACACACACACCACACATGCACACACACACACACACACACACACATACAAACACACAGTGCTAGCTGTTGCCATGCTCACCTCACACTGAAGTCAGGCTGCTGTTATGTATAATATCCCAGCCAGCGACACATAGGCTTCACAGAGCCACACAGCCACCTGCAGGAGATTGATCAAGGGAAGCAGGCCTGTGTGTGTGTGCGCGTGTGTGTGCTGTGTGTTGCGTGCTGTGTGCATGTGTTTTGACAGTATAAGCATAAAAACAAGCATAGATGTGAAGCAATGAAAGCATACTGAAGAGGGGAGAGATAGATCTGTTAAGAGGAGATGTGGGGAGGGATTTGGTTTGATTAGTGTGTGTGTGTTGTGTGATGTAGTGGTGTGGTAATGTAGGTGTGTGTGCGCTACGCGGACAGCAGGGAGAGAGCGGAAGACAAATTAGAAGTGTGGATGGAGTACTGACAAGTGTTAAAAACAGGATGAAAAGGGAAATGGAACAGAGAGGTGAAATGGCTGAATATGGAACTGAAAATGTTGAATAAAAGAAAACGTGGAGAGAGGGAAATGAAACAATAACAACACAAGAGGAGATGGGAATGAGTGGAATGCTGTGAATGGATATTGTAGAGGTTCAGTATATCTAAATAAAAGCAACACACACACAACTGTATAAGTCATAAAATGAAATGTACAACCAGAATTTACTCAAAGATAGTGTTCAGTCATGCTTAAGAAGATGATAAAACACTGAGTTACAGCTGATACGGTTTCAATATTTGATGAAATAAGCTTGGTCCAAAAGAAACAGAAAATAAAACAGAATGTTTTCCAATAAAAACGCAGAACTAATTAAACTTCTTGAAAAACAGACCTCTTTTTTTGCATTATCTTATTTAATCAATCATAAAATAAAACTTATCGTAGCTAGAGTATTCATTGTTTGTGGAGGAAGACAGCCTTAACACTTTGAAATTACCTTATATCTCAAGTTTAAATACATTTAGGAGTAATATATTTTTGTTTCACATTTTTCTCTTTTAAATTCTTTGAATCTACATATGTTATTTTGTTTATTTTACTCTCACAAATCTATACATCACTTAATTCGGTTGGGGAGCAGAAGGAGAGTAATTATAACAAAAACTAGTGAATTCAATAGGATTTTTTGGTTTAATAAGTTATGATACATGAAAAAACAATAATAAACTCACCTATAATTAAATTACTATCATTTATTAGTTTTTGATATTGGAGTCAATATACCTTCAATAACATCTGACAGTCTTCAATTAATTCTCGAAGCAATAGACTGAGCTCTTTGAACGCTCATAAGAATTCAACTTATTATCAAATAAATTATCTATTGTTAATACTTTAGTTATCATATGACAAATTCCAGCATTATACAGACCATCAACAACTCCACACGGACAAGCAATAAAGAAGGATATAGTGGCACACATGGAACAGTCGTATCTTATCTTTAAAGCAAAGCTTTTATCATTATGTTTATAACTTGACACAGTTCTCTAACAAGTTTTATAGACATTCGGATGATCATATATCAGTATAGATATTCCCGGGTCATGCACGTTCAGATCTTGAATAACTGAAGAGTACGGATTGTTTCAAGTTATATCAATGTGTAGCATGAACGTGTGAGGCTCACAGCTAGCTATGGTGTGTCTGTTCAGTGAAGATAATACTAGTTGTCTCGGTCTGATAAAGCTACAGGCTTAACATTGTTACTCAGGGATATATCTGTCTGCAGCACACCAGCGATAGTGTTATATATTTCGTATTCGGACAGTCAGGGTGTCCACGGCGATTACACGTAGCTTATTCATCATTACAACTTCATTTTTTCATATTGTGATATGCAAAGAGAGCCGAGCACGCCTAACTAGCGGCGCTGCTTCAGCTCGGAGCTGTGTCTGATCTTATGTGTCTTTCGTATAAAAGAGTTTTGATAGCGGACAGTGTCGTCATTCATCTTCAGTCTGGACGACTGGATCACAACGGTTCTATTCCTCATTAACTTCTCGGATAGAGATCTATGAGACAAGAGGCTCAGAATGTACAGAGATTAGTGTATAAAAATCACTAGTTACCAGAGATAACGCTGAAAAATAAATATAATCACTTCCTGTTTGACACCATTTCATTTTAATGACCTTAGTGACAGCGTAGATAGTGTGTGATATATAGTATTTAGGTATATAGGAGTAAGATAACGATAGGTGAACCGGTGACGTAGCGAGAGAGGATACGAGTAGAAGGGCGACTCTAACGATCTAATCAGACACATTTCATCTCTCCTCTTGCTGTGTGAATAGTACTTGTACATCTATCTCTCACTCAACACGTTTTCATTTTATCACACATACTATAACAGCAAATCCCATAACTCTGAGAGTCACGACAATTCACCCCTCTCCTGTCATCCAATCATAGAGACAGGAGGAGTCCCATTGAGATAGATATCCTAGATTATATGACGAACTGCTGATCATAAAGCTGCCGAATACAGCAGCAACCCTGTGCGGATATGTTCAGATATGTCGCTCACATTGCGAGACCGTGCCTACGTCCGCGGACCAACACACAACACATAACATAACACACAGCGACAACACGACACAACATCAACATCACACAACACGACCACATCTCCTGTCCACATCTTTCCTTTAACAATCTATCTCTCCCCCATTCCCTTCAGAGCTGTTCATTGGCCTTTTCCCCCACCACGTCCTCATGCTGTTTTTATGCTTATACCTGTCAACACATGCACACACCACGCACACACACACACACGACGCGCACACAACCACAGGGCTCTCTCCCCCTTGATCAGAATCTCCTGCAGTGCTGTGTGGCCCTCTGGTGAAGCCTATGGGAATGGTGGGCTTATATAACTGCAGCAGGCATGAGCTTTCCAGTTGAGGTGAACATGGCAGTGGCACTGTGTGTTTGTAATGTGTGTGTGTGGTGTGTGTGTTGTGTGCATGTGTGGTGTGTGTGTGTGTGTGTGTGTGTGAAAAAGCCTTATCATCCTGCGCTGCCTGCTCTCACAGTCTCTCTGCAGATGACTGGACTGTTAAATGTGTTTATCAGGACGTGTTTATCTGCTGATGTTCCTTCTGTGCTCACAGACTCACAGCTGATGTCCGTCTCTGTGCGATTGTATTTCTGTAAACCGATACGTGTCCACTTCATCCCCGCACTGCTCCCTTACTCTGAGCAGGTCGGTCGATGATTCCTTCTGCTCTGATTGATCGCAGGGCTCTGAATTTATTCATTTTTTTATGTTACCTTCTGCCCCTGTCTTCACTTCCCACAGTGCATTTCTTAGGAGCTCTCCAGACTTGCCTTTCTACACCTGTCCACAAGATACCCTCGGACTTTCCCACCTGTCACCAGACTCCAACATCCACCTGCTCACATGTCCCTAATAACCCTGTCAGTATTTAGAATAACCCAGTTTCCCCAGTCAGTTGCCTGAGTGTCTATCAGTTGCCCTCTCATACTGACTTCATTTGGTCTGCGCTTTCAGACCAAGATAGATAGATAGATAGATACTTTAGTTATCCCCAGGGAAATTCAAGTGGTGTTTCCGCCCGGTGGTCTTCCAACCACTCCCACTTTACACTAAATGTCAGCATCCAGAGCAATCTGGGGTTCAGTATCTTGCTCAAGGACACGTCCACATGCAGCGGGAGGAGCTGGGGATCAAACTGTCAACCTTCTGCTTAGTGGACGACCCGCTCTACCTCCTGAGCCGCCCTAAAGGTTTTAATTAGAGGTGTGAAACCTCCAGGGTCCGGACTAAACAGCCAACCAAAAGAGGGGCTCTCGGTCCAGATCTACATTCATACAGACTCCGATGGCGCTGATGCAGATTTGGTGATGACGGCAGGTCATGTATAGTGCTCGCAAAACTACCAAACCAAAACTAACTGGATCCAATCTATGCCACAATCAATGCCACAAACAGGTGAACCTTGGTTCTGACTTTCAGCTGTGAAGAGGCCCAATGTTGCTTCCTGCCTTTGCTTTCCAGCCTCTGAAACCTGGATCCTGTACCTGCCTGTGCCTTTCACTCCTGTTAACCTGTGGACTCTCTGTTTGGATTTGCTTGCCAAGTTGTAATGGAAGATGTCCAACTGGTATTTCTGTGGTCAAGAATCAACTTACAATCTGAATATTATTTGGTTTATTTAGTAAAAACAAACCAAAGTTGTCAAACACAGCTGACTCAGGAAGTACTGAGGTTCAAAACCCAGATTTATTCTTCCAAACAATTCTGGTTTGTTTACAGTCTGTTATCATCTGAGCTTCTGGTGTTCCTGCTGGACTCGAACTGCACAAAAAACAAAACTGAATCTTGAAGCACGTTTCTTTACCTTGTGAATGCTACAGTTCACAGTAACCAGTTTTGCGATGTAAAGCCCTCGGGTGAAATCCCTCCAGTGACTTGTTGACATGAATGACAGCATATGGCGCCTTTTAGTCTGTGCAGTTTGTTGGCGTGAGCTGTTTCAGTACAGGGCACCATGGCCACGCCAACATATTAAGCTACACATGAATAAATAAAACATTTGCATTTGTGTTTTATTCTGTCTCAACTTTGGGAGTTTAATCTGAAGTGGAGCAGCCAAGAGACAGAAAACTGCAGTGTTCACTGGTTTGGTCACAAGCAATCACATTCAAGTTCAACTTCAATTTTATCGCCATTTCTTCACACACAGATGAATGAAACGTCGTTCCTCTCTGGGGCCAAGGCACAGAAAGCGTAACATGGATTACACAAACAATAAAGCAACAACTACGACAGCCAGAAGCTGAGACGCCTGCTGTATAATACAAAGTGAAAGTTAAACTGGACATAAGACTATAAATATTAAATACTCTCTGTCAGATGTTCTCAATCCCTGGGCTGGAGACTGGTAGGCCTACTGGCTTTGGAAGATACCAAGCCGAAAGTTTCAGGAGTTAACTTGGCACAGTGTGTGCTGAGTTGTCTTCATCATTCCTGTCACGTCTACAACATAATACTGACTTTAAATTAAATATAGGTCGTCAGTACGCCAGGTAAACAGTTCTTCATCACCGTGAATCAGAATTCAACATTGAGGACACTACCTGAGGTCTTTCTGCTTTTAATCACAACAAACAGGGAACAATTAAAGTTTTAATTTCCATTTAGTTTCAGTTTTATGTCTAACTCTACATCAAGATGTGTGTAGAGAGCTTTATCTTTATACCTACTGAGAGTAATTATGCGTTCCACAGCAAAAGTTTTAGCATAAAAACTGAATTTGAACATTTCTGACCTTGCTGACTCCCAGTGTATAGTGTAAAGCAGTGGTTCTCAACCTTGTTGGTATGGATGTCCTGATCTGATCTCAAAGATCAGTATTGGAGCAATATTGAGATATATTAAGCCTGACTGATCCTTTGATTTAGCCTCTGCTCGGAGTAGAGATAGACATCGGAGCACGCTCAGTTAAATTTAACCCATGATTTTCTATTCTTTTTTATTTGAAAGATGCTGAAAGCAGATAAATATTGTACATATCGGGGCTTTAAAAGATAAAATAAAAGCTCTGTCCTCACTTACCGTGAACTCTCTGAGATTTTCACATTTGTGCGTGTCCTCCCCGGGCAGCTGGCCTTTCCTGCACAGCTTGTTGTGGAGCCACATGAGCAGGTACCAGATGGACTTGGGGCTGGGGATGATGTTGAACGGGGGTGGCAGCGTGCCACCCTCGTCAAAGTAACTCATCCACAGCTTGGTGCGGGCGAACTTCCACTCGATGTCGGCGTGGTCCTGCAGGACAAAAAGAGGGAAGGCTGGTTGAAAAAGTCATGTTACAGAAAGAGGTGATCTTTTTCATTTTTAACTGGAAGCAATTAAAGTTCATTATAGAAGACAAGACTTGATAGCAGGGACCTTTTATTGTTTTTCATGCTGTTTGGTGAAGCTTAAGACAGTTTCCCACAACAATGTAGTTCTTTATAATAAAGGCGCTCATGATATTGGTTGGAACAGACCTTTTCTTTTTTGGTATCTAATGTAATAAACAGTTATTTTCATTTTTCATTAACTTTGTAAGTTTTTAATGGTTAAAAATTATAGATGACATATTTTTCAACATTTTATAAATTAATTGAGAATGAGTTTTAGTTAAAATAATCAATTTACAATGATAGAAACAGGAAAAGCTCATAAAATCTAGAATGTATTATTTTTGTGATAACTGGATAACTCTTTCAGTTGATTAATCCTTTCAGTGCCATTTAATGTGACTCACAGCGATGAGTTGGTAGGAGTTGTTCATCATGGCGATCAGCATGTTGAGCAGAACCACCAGCGAGATGACGTTGTAAGTCCCGAACATGGTCGCCCCGATGAACTCTGTGAACTCGTGCCGGGCCTTCACGTTGGTGACGTACAGGTTTAACAGCCCGAATATGGACCAGAACAGAGACTGAAGAGTCTCAAATAACCTGAAGATGAAGAACAAGAGAAAACGTATTGTAAAGCAGTGTTTATCAAAAAAACTAGGTACTAGAGTACTACTAGTCGACTTTCCAGCGACGTGAACCCAAAAATACAGAGTACCCCGAAGTTTTATGTTACAAATGTAAAGTATGGGTCCCCAGCATTTAGAAACTGCTGCATCCTAACTTGCATATGTTAAAATTGTTATTATATATATTATATATTTCAGCCACTGCTTGCCCAATTTGGACAATATTGAGGCAGTATGTAGGATGCTGAATCCACAAGTACAAAATGACTGTTCAAACCAGAAGTGGCCATATGTCCACCATATGCAAGTATACAGACATATTTCTCAGTCACCATTGGATATATCCACTTCTAAATCCCCTCTGATGTACACCATTCGGTAGTGTTCTGCGAGTGTTATCATTTTTGTTATGATGGTGAAGACCTGACGTAGTTGTCCAGTTGTCTCACCCATCTGTGGGCCAGTACTGATTGCAAAATCGGCATCTCTTCTGTGGTTAATGTTCATTTTATAATGATCCTTTACTGCCTGAAGTAGCAGATGTTGAGCAACAATATGCAAATACTACTTGGTCATAAATTACACAGATTTTACTGATTTCAACTCCCTGTGGATTGATTTGGATTCATTTCGAGTCAATTTTGAGGTTATTTATACGCTTTAATACATTGGACCTGCATTTTAGAATCCAGAAAGCTCAATTTTATTGGTGTGAATGTTCAGACGTTAATATTTCTTCAGTTCAAAGACTCATCTTATCTCCGTTTACTATCTGACCATCACATTTAAGCTCAGAACTACTCACGGATGTATGCGGACACTACCTGCAGCAGGCTGATATTATAGGAAATGCAAAACTTATGTTACATTACATTAAGTCCCTTTATTCAAAACCTTAAAATAAGAGAAATGTAAGAGATTATTGCTGCAGGAGGCTCAATGTTTCTGCAATCTAGCTGATAAATTACCAGTGTCTCCTCTGTTTCTCTCACTATTTTTCACCCTCCCTCTCTTTCCTCCATCTCCCACTATCTGTCACTTCGCCCCTCTGTTTACCTCCTCATTTTATTTCCTGCTCTGATCAGTCGTTCGTGTGTCTGTCTGTGCGACAGTCGCGGTTACAGAGGACGTTATTGAATTTTTGATGAAGCAACAATCGGCAGAACCCAAACATCACCAGAGAGAGAGAGAGAGAG